CCCTCATCCATGCATGGAAGTGGAGTGACGCGGGGTGCTGCTCCTTCCCATGGCTGCTTGGAAGAGGAAACGCTGTTTCCTGGACAGCCTGTCCTTGGGGTGATTCACTGGTGCTCTCACCCATCAGAGATGGGCTGCAGATGGTGACAAACCCGCTGGAGGTCCCCAGCGCTGAGCTCATTGTGGGACCAATGCTGCCTGGGAGGCTTTGGGGTCCCCTGGACTCTGCTGACCCAAACCCCCACTTTCTTACCTTGTTGTTGGCTTGTTGAGTGGTGCTGTTTACCGTCCTGTTCCTGCCTTCTTCAACACTGACACCAGGCTGGGGAGCTGCCTGCTCTGGCCATGTTGGACTGCTCTAGGAAGGAAGGAGTCCTGCTCACTAGCAAGGATGACGCCGAAAGATGAAACTGTAGCTTTTTTTCCTGGACTTTTTCTCTTTTGGGGCTGGGGGGAGAGAGGACCCTCACTTGGCTCTGCAGAGCAAGGGGCTTTGGTCGCCTCTGGGACCAAGAGATGTTCTGGAGCAAAGGCTGCTCAGTCCCAGCGCTGAAGGATGAGTCCCTGCTCTTGAAGGACTCAACACTGTCAGGTCTCAGCACTTTCGTGGAGTTCATCTCCTGCTCTGCTGGATTTGGACTCTGGAAACTGGTGCAAGATGGTCCCAGGCAGAAAAGGGACAGGGTTGACCTCCCGCCTTGCACCGTGATGCACTTTGCTGTCAGTGAAGCTGGCAAGCTCCCAGCACTAAATGTTTATTTATAAAAAAAAATTGCTATTAAGTCCATGTGGGGGAAAGGGGAAATACCTGTTTGTTAATAAATGTTAACTCTGAATAAACACTCGTCTTGTCTAAGGCAATTGGTGTCTCTGGGTTAATGGAAATAATTGTGCTGGGAGCAGGGTCTGGCTGTGGGGAGGAAGATGTTCTGGTCTGGGTCCCTGCCTGGCTCTGGGGGCTTGAGGGGTCACTCTGGGGGTGCAGCCCGGAGCTGGGAGCTGCCTTTGGGCTGGCTGGGAGCAGGGGTGGCTGCAGCACAAACCCAGCTGTGCTTTTCACCCAGCTGGCTGTGGGAAGGGGCTGTCCCAGCCCTGGGGGACTCCTCTGCAGCATGAAACATCAAAGCAGGGGGATGGGAAGCTGTGCAAGGGCTGAGAGGGGCAAAACCTCACCACAACCCCTGTGCTTAACTCCACTCCCCTGGGACAGCTGTCTGTGCTGTGGTCCTGGGGGCAGGACTGGTGCTGCCACCATATCCCCAGCAGAAGCCACTGTCACCTGTGCAGGGTCTCACTGCGGGACCCCTGTGTGAATGTAGGCTCCTCTGCTGCCCACATCATTCCCCCTTCCCCACTGTGACCCCAGGCTGCTACTCCCGACCCCACTTGTGCGCTATCTTGTGGGGCAGGTGGCCGTTAGCTGTGGGCAAGCTGGTCATGTCCCCACTCCTCCTTTAAAGGGGCCCCAGGTGCCCAGGCCAATGAGGGTGACCCATGTTGTAGGACAGGGATGTGTGAGAGCATGTGATGGCACTGCTGATGAAAAAGTACAGCAACAAGTCCCAGGTGGGACTGGGACTGGAGCTGCTGGATGCCAGGGCTGAGGTCCCCTGAGAGTCAGGGATGCCTCCACCGTCAGCTGCTTCCTCCGAGGACTGAGCAAGACTTGTATGTGGACTGTGAGCTCAAGTTATGGTTAATGTGACAAATGGCCTGATTTGCAGAGGATCCAAGTGAAAATAAAGTTTTGATGGTAACAACCTTGTTGTGTCATCGTTCAACCGAGGATCCGTAAAGCATCTGCCTGTCCCCATAGCATTGGGTGACACCCATCCACGCCGATGCCCCTTGAAATGCTTGCAGAGCACATATCACGCAGCCTTTTAGCTGCTGCTGAGTCAAGCCCTACAGATTTAGCCCTTTTAATCTTTCCCCTTACGTCAGTCCTTTCAGCCCCCTTGGCCGCTGCCAGCTGCTCCCCTCTGCTGTCACCTCCCGTTTGTCAGGAGCGGTGGCAATGGAGGAAGCAAGAAATAAATCAGCAAATGCCCCCTCGTCCCTGCCTGTGGGGCTCTGAGGGCAGCCAGGGTCTGGCTCTGCTGTGTGAGAGGGAGTTTGGCACTTGGGCTTGAGTTTTGCACCCCGCTGGGAGACCCCAGCCCTGCACCGCCTCTTCCAGGCAGGGGAGGACTGTGTCCCCCCAGCTTTGGGGACACAAAATGGTGATGGACTTCCAGCAGCTGAGGAACGGATGGAAACCTTGCACTTTCAGCCCAGATTGTGTTTTGCTGCTCTCCCATCCTCAGCCTGGCCTCAGCACGGAGCGAGGATGCTGGGGTTCAAACTCCCACGACGGCCGAGCGGGGCCGGGAGGAGAGTCAGGCGCTTCCCCTTCTTTCCCCCCTATATTCAATCCTCTTTCACTGAGACCTGCCCGGCATCTCCTCGGGGCTGAAAAGGGTCGTTGCTGCTGCAGGGCTGGATCGTACCCTCCCATGGCCGGTGCTAACCCTGGCGCAGGCTGCCGGCAGAGCTCTGCAGCTGGAAGCTAGATGCCGGAGTCTTGCTGGGCAGAGGGCACGAATCAGTGAGCTGTCCCAGGGATATTTAGGGTTTTCCCCCCAAAAGCATCCTCAGGGAAAGCAAAGCCAAAATTCAGCCTTCTCCATACGCGGCAAACAGCCCTGGGGGTTGCGAGACGCAGTGACAGACTGAGCTCAGAGGTGGTTTTTGCAAGCTGAGCACCCCAGCCTGGCCGTGGGGTTGCTTCAATCTGGGGTAACCAGCACCAGCTTTGCTCAGAGAGCGGAGAAGAAACAGCTGAGCCCTCAATTGGCCTACAAATGCCCAGGCGGAGCGGTTGCACCTGAGCTGGCTGCTGCTTCTTTAGGTTAAACAGCAAACAAACAGGCTGTGACTGGGTGGGTGTGATGGGGCAGGGCACCCGTGCAGCCAGTTTCCTGCAGGTGATTTAACCAGCTCGGATAGGGAGAGATGGGCAGGGCACCAGCCTCCACCCCCTGGCTCCTGCCCCGAGAGCCTGGGCTCAGACCCATGCTGTGAGCCGGGAGATGTTAATTCTAGTTGTAACCTAAAGATAATAGTTGGCATTTCCCCTTGTTATTATTTTAGGCTTTTGCTTGGGATCTTTTCCAATTTTGCAGTTCAAGTGGAGCAAAAATGCACGTGACCCACCTAATTCCCCTGCCCCCTTGCAAACCAGAGTGGTTGCGGACCACGGGCAGCTGCTGGCTTTGGTGCCAACTTCACAGCTGAGTTAATAATTCAGGCAGGATCCTTGAAAAAAATGTCAGTGCGAGCAGCACAGTGGGGGAGATCTCCAAATCCTGGGGCCAAAGAGCCCCCGCGGGGGGGGGTTGCAGGTTTGTTCTGTCTTTGGTAGGATGTTATAATCTGTGGGTTATGCATAGCCTTGTAGTTTGGGTTATTTGGACTCTTAAAATAACATTTGCTGTTTCTCTGATGCTTTTCCCCTGCTCCAAACATCTTCCAGCCTCGGCCAGACAAGGAAAGGATGCAAACAAGGAAAGGATGGGGCCTTCTGCTGCGGGTCCCGGTGACGCCGGCGGTGCCCTTGCTTGGGGGTCTGGGGGGGGACGGTGACCCTCTGGATGGGCCCTTCCTGCGCCCCGCTTGCAATGCGGCAAACAGGAAACGTGTGAGCGCTGGCAGTTGAGTGTAACCTGAAAACGGAAAGCCGCCTTGAGTAAGAGTGAAAATGAGAGCTCAGGCGCGGGGCAGGTCAAACGCCCTCGGCGCGGGACCAGCATCCCTCCCAGCCCGGGGAGCCTCGCTGCCCCATGCACCCTGAAACTGAGGGTCCCTCTCGGTAGGTGGGAAAGGTAAGCCTTGCTAGCTCATGCGTCGCCTTAAAAAACAGAAAAGCAAGGAAAATAAGGGGTTTTTCTTGCTGTTGGTGAGCTGGGGGGGCTTTTTCTTGCTGCCTGTGGGGGGACTGTGGTTGGGGGCCCTTTTCTGATGGCTGGGAGCAGCGGGGGGGGTTTTGGAGGGGAGGCGGGTCGCCGGGAGTCGGTGATGCCGTGGGGGGGCCCTGCTCAGCCGGGTCCGGGGGACGCGCGGTTCCCATCCCAGCCCCCCCTGCTTGTTCTGTGCCTCCGTTGTGCGGTGGGCTCAGCTCAGCCCCCCGGGGCCAGGGCAGGTAACTGGGGGCTTCCTCATGCCTTAAACAACCCCACGTGCCCCCCCGGAGTTCCCACTTCTGCTGTCTTAGAGGCTGGGACCACCATAAAGGCAACTGGTTTCTGCCTCCCCTGGTGGCCTGTGGGACTCCAGCAACTCCACAAGACCCTCTCGCTTTAAGGGGAAGGGGAGGTTTTGGGGGGCCTATTCCCGCGTCTCCAGTGCACCCTGGGATTTAGCAGAACCACCGTTTCACATTGCAAAAGGAAAGGGGCAGAGGGCTGGAACAGCCGGGGGTCTCCCCGGGCTGGGAGCGGAAAGCCGAGCTGCAGCCAGCTTGAGCATGGCCCCGACTCTGCGTCACCGCTCTCCGTGGCTGTGCTTTCCTTTACTCGGTTTTTCGGCTTTGCCACGCAGAGAACAACCCCTGAGGCGGATGGCACGGTGGCTGTCGGTGCTGCCGCCACCCACCCAGGGGTCCCAAGCTCAGACCCCGCAAGCCGGGGCGAGCACGCAGGGATGATGAAAACCTCGCCGAGGTCTCGCGCAGCTCTCCCCGGAGGTGACTCATGGCTGTGAAAGCTGGGGGAGGAATTTTAAAAGCTGCTGCTGAGCTCCGAGAAAGCAGGTGGAACCACCGCGTTTTGCCCAGACCTCCAGCATCGCCTTGGCTGGTCCTTTGCCGGTGTCACCTCCCGGCT